TAATTTATAGCTTTATACATAGATTAATAACTCCAAAAGCAGAGTTTAAAGTATATGGTTTTTAATTCTAAAATGTCTTCCCAATAAAGCAGAATGTTTCGTCTGACTCTATTTGACGCTATTGTATGACACAACATTAGCCGTCATACCTACTCAAAACTCCTTTTAGGGATCTTTTCTTTTCTTCTCTTTGTTTCCATTTGGAAACCACCTGTGGCCCTACCTTCTCCTCACAGGCGCTAACCGTTCCAACTGAAATGAGTCATTTCTTAGACCTTGATTTGCAGGCAAGGTGCTGTTTTGTAACCTCGCAAATTTTGAATCATTTTATAACCACATATTGAGTAACTGCTTTTACTTCCCACACCCAGGGTCAGGAACATAAAAATGCATTTAACACAGGTATAGTCTTCTCCACCCTTCTGTTCACTAGCAGCCTGGGTAAAACTTAACTCCCCTAACCTGTGTCTGCACCAGAGAGCAGCTGCCATTAGCTGCTGCTTCTTCTCAGATGGCTCAGTGGGCAGGGCCGTCGCAGTCTGTGTTTTGCATCTGGGTAGATATCCGTGCTCTGACTGGAAAACCGACTACAGCGTTGAGAACTCCTTTAGCAGAGAAGGTCCCGTTGCTACCACCCACAGTGGACAGGAACAGCAGCTGCATCACAGGACACCAGCGAGTCACCAGACACGGCAAAAGATGAGCATCCCCTCGGACTTGGGGAAGACTCAAAGATGCCTGTTTACTGATAGGGAGATATTGACCATTGTACATCCTCAAGGATGTATTAGCTTTATAGCTGGTAATCAGCTGTGTTATCATATTGATTTAGCAACTCAGACATGGGCCGACAGGACACCGCTCTTATAACCGAACTTCCGAAGACTTCCACGTGGTAAAAAGCTATATAATTGCATTTGGTTTTTGGTGTTTCGAGACAAGGTCTCACTATGGAGCTCTGGATGTCCTGAAACTCACTATGGAGACCAGGCTAGCTGCAAGCTCACAGGCATTTGCCTGCCTCTGCTCCCCAGTGCTGATATTAAAAGCATGTGACACTATACCCAGTGTATAATTTTTAAACACCTCAGAATCCAAAAGTATACCTTTTAATACTTGCAGCCATTAGTATGTGTGCATCTAGCCAGGACCCAGACCAGAGCTCCACTGAGCCTGTTCTCATTCCCTGCCACCAGAAAAGACACCTCACGTTCTTACTGGGACATCCACACAAGCACACTGTTTTGAGTGGGAGTAAATAAGGAAAAACCAAGCAACTGTTTTCCACTGAAGGACAAGTACACAGCGGGCCTGTGGAGAATGCCCAGTGGGTGAAGTACTTGCCATGCAGCTTGGGACCTGGGTTCTTGTCCTCGGCTGGCGCCTGTGTAAAATCCAGGTGTGATGGGCATCTGTAGCCCTGGGCTGTGGAGTCAGATTCTGACACTCACCTGCCAGCCAGCCAGCTGCCTACCCAAACCAACAGCCCAGGCCAGTGAGAGACCCTGTCCCAGGCCAGCGAGAGACCCTGTCCCAGGTCAGAGAGACCCTGTCTCAAGTCAAAGAGACCCTGTCCCAGGTCAGAGAGAGACCCTGTCCCAGGCCAGTGAGAGACCCTGTCCCAGATTCAGAGAGACCCTGTCTCAGGTCAGAGAGACCCTGTCTCAGGTCAGAGAGACCCTGTCTCAGGTCAGAGAGACCCTGTCTCAGGTCAGAGAGACCCTGTCCCAGGTCAGAGAGAGGCCCTGTCCCAGGTCAGAGAGAGACCCTGTCCCAGGTCAGAGAGGCCCTGTCCCAGGTCAGAGAGAGACCCTGTCCCAGGTCAGAGAGACCCTGTCTCAGGTCAGAGAGACCCTGTCCCAAGTCAGAGAGACCCTGTCTCAGGTCAGAGAGAGACCCTGTCCCAGGCCAGCGAGAGACCCTGTCCCAAAACTGAGCTGAGAGCAACTGAGGGAGACACGATGTCAACCTCTGGCCTCCGCGTGAGCACACACGGACCCGTGCACCCACATGCATGTGTGCCCATACACATACTGTACACTCACACCACACAAGAGCGTTCTGAAGGCATCAAGCAGCGGCTAACAACACAGGCCTTCTCAAAAGGCGGTCTGTCTCCCACAGCGGCAAGAGGTACCTCGGGTATGTGCAGCTGCTCGAAATGAGACTGCGCTGTGCGTTCCCAGAAGGTGCAGAGCTCGGAAACAGATGTGTCTTCAGGTGTGGGGACAGGACGGCATGAGGGACAAGTGCCCTGGCTATCGGCCTCCCAGCAGCGGGGAGAGATGAGGACATCCCAGAGATAGTCCTTGGTGTGTACAGCACCCAGGCCAGCTGACACCCTTGGTAACAACCGTGGCCTTGGAATTCCAACAGGCAGCAACAGTTGAGGGTGTTCCTGGATACTGCTGCCTTGCATACCCAAGTTCAAGAAATAGAACCATGACAGCGATATCCCGTAAGACACAGGAAGCAGCACCTGGGTCTATTAGTCTTCCTGAAGGCCTCCAAAGGAGATACTGACACCTGCGAATAATAGCCAGTTAGCCAGACACAGTGGGACGCATCAGCAGTCCTGGGTATTTAGGACTAAGGTAGGAGGGTAGTTTGGGCTACGACCAGAGTAGACAACACAGAGAGGCCTTGTCAAAAAAAACTGATATATATATATTATATATATATATAATATATATTATATATATCAAAGATGAGGAGAAAGGGATGGCTCAGCAATAAAGCACGCTTGCTGTGCAGGCATGAGGACCAAAGGACATCAGCACACAGGCAACACATTGGGCACGGTTCCACGCATGTCCGCAACCACAGCGTGGAGTGGAGTGCGATGAACTATGAGAAAAGAAACACTGAGAAGAAAATAATCCAGCACGAGATCGCTAGGGCTTGCTAGCTCCCAACCTAGCCAGAAAACAAACATGAATTCCCAAAGCAGTTCTCTCACTCATACACACTCACTAGCACAGTCACACGCTTGTACTTCATACACACACTCACGCACTCCCATACATATTCACACACTCTCACACTCAACGCAAACACACCCATAAAAATAACAATGGTAATAAAAATATACATTAAACATTTCAAGTCTAGCATCTACTGACCAAAAAAAAACAAAAAACAAAATTACACTTTTCTTATTGCTTAAACTACCATGTATCTACGGGCCTCTTACTTCATCTAGAAACTTTCCCGTTCCTAAAACACCAGCTCCCTCTTTGCATCTAAGACCGTGCAGGCATTTTTGAAGCCTCCAAAGGAGACTTACTGAACACTAACCAACAGATCACACTAATAGCGCACAGAAGAATTAAACAGTGAGGCTCTTGTGGGCTCCTTGTACTGCACGCTAGTGATTCAGATGGGTCCCCTGCAGGGCTCAGATTAATAAACAAGGAAAATCAATCAGAGCACTGCTCTGCTGTGACAGCAGAAGCGACATCTTGAGAGAAAAGGGCGGAGTTATCCTGGCATTAGCCCAGCATGAAAAAGGCATTACCGCTGGTTCCCCGGATCACACCCTCCCGGCTACCCCGATGACGGCCGCCGTGCCCAGCATCTGCCATCAGACGCGCTGGAGCGCTCGGCCACGCTGTCTCCCACCTTATTAATGCACTGCGCTGGGGCCATTTATTTCCATCTCTCTTGCATCCGTGAAATGTCCAAGAAGAGCAAGGCTGTCATCTCCCCTCAATCTTCTCAGTGAAGTGCGGGTTGGAGGAAGGGTGAGGGAACTCTCATTAGCAGCCCCATGGGCTTCTCTCCACTCTGCCCCGCCCCCCCATTTCCACCGGGGGATCAATTCCTGACAGCATGTCCTCCAGGGTTTACCAGGCTGAACACCACTGCTGCTTAAACCACATACTCGTACACCAAAGACGGCATCTCACACACAGTTATTTCCCGAGCAAATGCGTTTCCAAATAAAAATGCTGCAAATATAAACCCTGGCCTGGAGGTCTTAGAAAGGTTAGCAGGAAAGACGCTGTAGGTGAAAACAGAAATAATACTTTACGGTCTGAAAAGAGCAGAAAGCACAGGGGTTTCTTACCTAGTGAGCCCACTGAGCCCAACCCCCCACACACACATACACACACTGTACACACATACACACAAACATACACACACATACACATACACACACTGTACACACATACAAACATACACATACATACATATACATACGCATACACACACACAAAAACATATACCATACACACATACAAACATACATACATATACACACACACTATACACACATACAAACATACACATACATATACATCCACATACATACACACAAACAAAAACATACAAACGCATGCATATACACACACATACACATACAAACACATATACACATACACACAAACATATACACATACACTCACACTCACACAAACACATACACACATATACACACACATACACACAAACACATACACACGTGTACACACACAATTTGTGCACACAGTACAGCTTCAACCAATTGCTCTTAAGAGCAACTATGAGTTTTAAAAAGTCAGCCTCTGTTTTGCAGAGTGTCCTAGGAACCATAAGCCAAAACAACCTTCCTCCTCTTGCTCATTTGCAAATGAAAACCGTGCTTCTAGACTGTGGCAGACATAGTCTGTGTTTCATTTTCTACACGTGTCCTGCTTCAAGTTAACACAGCAAAATGAAGACGTTCCGAGGAAAATCGGCTCTAAGCCTAATCCCCACTGCACTAAGATTTTGGAAGAAAGGAGAGAGAGCTCAGCACTACAGAGCACACTAGCTGCTCCTGCAGACAGCCCAGGTTAGGTTCCCAGAACCATGTGCAGCTCCCAGCTGCGCCCAACTCCAGCTGCGGAGTTCCAGTCAGTTGCAGACGCCCCCTTCTGGCCTCCTGGGGCACTGGTACACACACAGTCCACACGTACGGTAATGACAAATGCACAATTTTTTAAAAGATAATGGAAGACAAAATGCCCACACAAAGCTGTTGTAACCAACTGTTTAATGTGGAAAGTAAGGCATGAGTGTCAACAGGGAATGAGACCACCTGTGCAGAAATGTTTCTTTATTTAAAAAAATCACTTTTAGAGGCTTTTGGACAAATATTAAAATGGATCACACTTTAACTTATCTTAAGCATACTACATGGGAAGCTACTTATTATCCATAAATCAGAGTTACGTTTCGTAGACAGTGTCTCCTACACATGAAGCTAAAGTAGAGTTCATAAGGATCCCTAAGAGTCCCCAAGAAGACCGCCTTGGAAAGAACTCCCGTCATTCCTTCGGGAAGACTGTCCACGCCATCATCTCCCCCGTTTCACGTCGCCAATGGCTCCCCACACATCAAACACAAACTCGTCGGGAAAGGCAAAGTCGCCCAGAGTCTCATCCAGTGCCACAGCGAACTCGTCCGGGTTGCTTTTGTCTTTTCCAGCTTCAAACATGGTCGTAGCTGTCGATGACAATTTTTAAAGGTTAATGAGTCATGAGCCAGCACCAGAGGACTGTCACCACTTATGGAGCTCTCACCCCTGCCCTGTCCCCAGCCTGAGAGCCCATCACTCGGGAGTCTCCAGCATTCTTTGGGGGTTGTTTTGTTTGTCTGGTGTGGGGTGTGTGCACGCACGGAGAGGCCAGACGGAACCTTGGGTGTCAAGCCCTGAGATGCCATCCGCGTCCTTTGAAGCCCTCGCCGTCCTGGAGCTCACTAGGTGGGCTCTGCTGGTACCAGTAACCCTCCCATCTCCACTTCCCCAACACTCAATTCTAAAGCATGCACCATCGCGTCTAGTGTTTTCACATGGGCTCTGTAGATCAAACTTGTGCATTCTAGAGAAGTATTCTGCCGAGTCCTCTCTGCAACCATCCAGCATTCTGAGGGGGGAAGGCATACTTTAAGAAAACCTCACGGCGGTCGGGCAGTGGTGGCACACGCCTTTGATCCCAGCACTCGGGGAAGCAGAGGCAGGTGGGTCTCTGTGAGTTTGAGGCCAGCCTGGTCTACAGAGCGAGTTCCAGGACAGCTTCCAAAACAATACAGAGAAACCCCATCTCAAAAACAAAAACAAAAAAAAATCAAGAATATCTCCTAGATCCAGTTACAGAGATGGAGAAGTGATGAGCAAAGGGGTCAAGACTTGGCTGGTGAAACCCACAGAGACAGCTGACCTGAACAAGGGGAAACTCATGAACCCCAGACTGATGGCTGAGAGGGAAGCATAGGACTGACCCAGACCCACTGAATGTGGGTGTCAGTGAGGAGGCCTAGGGTAGTAGATCAGTATTTATCCCTGGCATACAAATAGATTGGGGAGCCCATCCCACAATGAGGGATGCTCTCTCAGCCTGGACACATGGGGTTGGGCCCACGCCCTGCCCGGGATGATATAACAGACTTTGGAGATCCCCCATGGAGGGCCTCACCCTCCTTGGGGAACAGAGGGGATGGGATGGGGGTTGGGGTTCTTGGGGTGGGAGAGGAGGGGAGGAGAGGAGGGAGCTGGGATTGACATGCAAAGCAAGCTTGTTTCTAATTTAAATTAAAAAATTAAAAAGTACCTCATGGCTAACCTTTCTAGGAATCTTAGCACACACAGCCCCTTACTCCCCCCCCATACACAGTCTAACACTCTCTGTGCCTTCCATCCACGCCCGACTCACAACTAGCTGGAGTATACTCTTCCCCTACCAAGGGAGTACTTTACAGCCTGCCACACAGCAGTTTGAGTTCTGTAGCATCTTTCTTGGGCACCTTCTGGTTTAGGATAGAAAATTAACGATAGTATGTGTGGTCTGCCTTCCTAGGAAGTTACTTAAACCCCGTGTTCTGTGTCTGGGAAACAGCATCCCCATGAGCACACATTCCCCGAGGACCTTTCCCCAGGATAGAGAAGAGAAGCCCATGAAGTTCTGCCCCTTAAAAGCACTAGTGACCACAAAGGACTTTTTCTTTAATGCCACATATTGCAGCTAAGTGCTGGCCTCTTGTGGCCACTCTGAGAGTATATTTATGCTCCTATCACCACAAAATTTTCATCAACATAGTCGCCATTAAGTTTGTAAATATTTAAAGAACTTTTAGGTATAAAAATTGACCTGTTGCCGGGCGGTGGTGGCGCACGCCTTTAATCCCAGCACTCGGGAGGCAGAGGCAGGCGGATCTCTGTGAGTTTGAGGCCGGGCTGGACCAACAGCCTCCAAAACAATACAGAGAAACCCTGTCTCATAAAATCCAAAAAAAAATTGACCTGTTACTTAAAAATCTTTATTATACATGTGTATGTATATCTTATATGTATGTATATGTGTGTGTATGAGTACTACATGTATGCATGTGTATATATAGGGCGTGTGTGTGTGTGTGTGTGTGTGTGTGTGTGGTACTGGAACTCCAACTCAGTGTCTCATGTATGCCAGGTAGATGCTCTATCTATGAGCTATGCCCTCAGCCCTACAATGTGTGTTTTAAAGAATTGTTTACCTGTTATTTTCTATGTGTGTGGGTGTCTTACCAGCATATATGTTTGTACACCGTACATATGCAGTACCTGTGGAGACCAGGAGAGGGTGGTGCATGCCCTGGGCCTGGGTGTTACAGATGACTATGAGATGCTGTGTGGGCCAGGTTCTCTGAAAGAGGCGCCAGTACTCTTGTCCAATGAGCTGCTCCTCCAGCCTCTGCAACGCACTTTTCAATAAAGATCTACTCCGGATTTCACTGCTCTCAACTTAGAAGGAGCTCTTCACAGCGTGCGTGGCTTCACTGACCAGTACAAAGAACCCAAGGAAGAAACGCGTTCCTCGCTTTGGAAACATCATTAATATATACCTTCCTAACCGGCTATTGTGGGGAAACGGACTTAGAAACTACCATTTTAATTGCCTTCCCACACATTCTAGCCTTTTTTTTTTTTTTACGAGACAGGGTTTCTCTGTATTGTTTTGGAGGCTATCGGTCCAGCCCGGCCTCGAACTCACAGAGATCCGCCTGCCTCTGCCTCCCGAGTGCTGGGATTAAAGGTGTGCACCACCACCACCCGGCTCTAGCCTTTTTAATAGGTTAACTTTTTTAATTCTTAAACTGTCAGAATTAGTTCCAAAATCCTAAACCGGTATCAGGAAACACTATAGGTCCACTATAGCTACACCGCTGCCTTAAAGCTAACAGGTAGAAAGTACAACATGTCCCTGAGTTAGATCACTCCCCAGACTCAACATCTTCTGGAACTTTTTTCTTTACAGATAACATCTCAAGGTAGTTATCTTGGCTGGTTGAAAAAAAAACACATTTCACAGCTTAGCTTCACAACCATCAAAGGGCATTAATTCTCAGAGGTATTTCCTACAAAGACTCATTTGAAGCTGGGCGGTGGTGGCCCATGCTTTTAATCCCAGCACTCGAGAGGCAGAGACAAGCAGATCTCTGAGTTCGAGGCCAGGCTGGTCTACAGAGCAAGTGTCAGGAGAGTCAGGGCTACACAGAACAGAAAGCAAGGAAGAAGGAAGGGAGGGAGTGGGGGGGAGTGGGATGGGAGGGAGGGAGGGAAGGAAGGAAGGGAGGAAGGAAAAGGAAGGGAGGGAGGGAGGGAGGGAGGGAGGGAGGGAGGGAGGGAGGGAGGGAGGGAGGGAAGAAGCAAGGAAGGAAGGAAAAGGAAGGAAGGAAGGGAGGGAGGGAGGGAGGGAGGAAGGAAGGGAGGAAGGAAAAGGAAGGAAGGGAGGGAGGGAGGGAGGGAGGGAGGGAGGGAGGGAGGGAGGGAGGGAGGGAGGGAGGGAGGGAGAAAGGGAGTTGAGGAAGGATACTCCTGAAAGCTAATAAATACTGGAAATACAGAGAAGCAAAAGCTTTCATTTGTCCGTTAAGTCAGGTTAACATTTCTAAATTGTATGTCATGCTAATCATATCTGAACAACAGAAATTCCTAATTTAACAACAGCTGACATTCTTCAAATAATTGCTTTCCCTACACTCTGCCTCCCTAAGTGACTGATCACACTACTAATCATGTGTGATGACAATAGCTTCGTGTCAATCAAAGGAATTTGCTACAGATATTTAATGAAACTGACAAGGGACCACTGGGTGATTTCAATGAATATTTTAGAATGTTTAATAGTCTACATTTCTGGGCACAAGAGAAAAATCATCCTTCTATTTTAAAGTTCTTTTCTAAATTACGTTTATTTCTTTAGTGTGTGTGTGTGTGTGTGTGTGTGTGTGTGTGTGTGTGTGTGTGTGTGTGTGTGTGTTTGGGGAGGGAACGTATGGTATATGGTGATACTTTGTTTATGATCTAACAAAGCTTGCCTGAAGATCCGAATACAAAGCTAGCCACACTAGTCAGCCAGAGAGTCCAGGCAGTGGTGGCTCTCACCTTTAACCCCAGCACTTGGGAGATAGAGGCAGATGGATCTCTGATAATTCAGGGCCACCCTGAGTCACACGATACTGATCCAGACTAAAAGAGAAACAGAGCTCACTCAAAGGTGATCTCAGCACTTGGGATCCCACGCCTTTAATCCCAGCACTAGAGAGGAATCCAAAGTGGGAGGAGACAGGAGCTCAGCGCAGTCTGAGGTTTGGTGGAGACGGACGCAGTCTGCAGATGCAGTCTGAGGACAGGATCGCCCTTCTTTCTGGGCTGAGCACTGGTAGAGATGAGAACTCTCTGGCAGCTGGCCGCCCTGCTTCTCTGATCTTCAGCTTTAACCCCAATAATCTGTCTCTGGGTTTTTATTATTAAGACCTATTAGAATGCGTGCCGCACTGGTACACCACAGTGCGGATTGTGAAGGTCAAAGGGCAGCTTCAACGTGCGGGAGGCCGCACTCTCCTTTCACCTTGTGGACCCCTGGAACCAAACTCGGGTCACCAGGCTTAGTGGGCAATGGCTTTATACCTGCTGGACCATCACGTGAACCCAGAAAATTCATCTTTAAAGACTTGTGATTTAAATCGTTTATAATCATCCGCACTGCTATCCGTCACTCTGATGCACTGTACTTGTGATTTAAATCCATTTATAATCATCCGCACTGCTATCCGTCACTCTGGTGCACTGTGTGTGTGTGTGTGTGTGTGTGTGTGTGTGTGTGTGTGTGTGTGTGTGTGTGTTTAAGATTCAAGGGCCTCAGAGATGCTTTGTCTACGATGAGCACTTGTTCTTGCAGACGGCCGACACAGGTTCAGAAACCAGCATCCTCATGGCAGCTCACAATTATCCATAGCTCCAGTTCCAGGGGCTCCGATGCCCTCTTCTAACCTCTGAGGGCATCAGGCATGCACATGGCGAACACACATACATGCAGGCAAAACACCCACACACATCAATAAAATAATTGTGTAAAGATGTGTTTTATTTTGGGGGGGCGCTGAAGAGGTAGATGGCTTGGTGGTTAGGAGCTCTCAGGTTCAATTCCCAGCACCCACATGGCAACGCGAAACCACCTGCAATTCCAGTCCCGGGAGCTACCACGCCTCTTCAGTTTTCCGTGAGCACCAGATTTCATTTCATCTCGATTTCTTTGAATGTGTGTGCGTTTGTGTAGGGGTGTGCGTGAGTGCAGTAACTGTGGAGGCCAGAAGAGAGCGTCAGAGCCTCTGGAGCTAGAGTTAGAGTGGGTGTGAGCCGCTCACCAGAGGTCCTGGGAAATGAACTCACATCTTCTGGAAGAAAGGCAAGCAGTCTTAACTGCTGAACCGTCTCCAGCCCCCATATCTGCATTTTAATAACAATAACTCGTCCTGATTTATAAAACTACGAAAAGTTAGAATGCTGAAGACAGCCCTAGGGTCCTTCCTTGAGAGCTTGGTTCTCCCAAGTTCTGGCTCACAGTCCAGGGATGGACTTGAGTCCTGAGTCTCACCCAGGCCATCTGTCGTTCTCCGATGCCTCTCGGCTGAAGACTGATGAAGTACGTCATTTTCTAACAAACACTACGTAGTCTGTATGTTTAAGGTCACTGCCCTCTAAACCCTCTTAAGCTCATTTCCATGCATCTGAATTACTCTCACAAGTCTGAGTCACTTATCCAAATCCCAGAATTCCCCCAAAATGTAGGCTCTGGAGATGAGGTGAGCCTGGATGTATGTGCTCTGGCCATCTTAGCTCTAGTTTATTCTCTGATCATGACAATCTAGGGTTCTACTGTGCTGGGATGTTCATGTCTTTCCCTAGACTTGGGGGATTTTTCTCCTACATTAACTAGATTTTCTATTCCTTTAGTTTATCTCGCTCATTGGTCTGCCCCATGAATTCTCAGATTTGGTCTCTGGATCATGGCCCAGAGATCTTGGAAGTTTGTGGGTTTGACAGCTCAGTTCTCTTCTCACTGGTATCCAAGCATGGGATGTGTCAACCTAGGCTTCTGGTCATGACAGTCTTTTGTTTGATTTAGTTGATTGGTGATGCTGTCCCCTGTGGTTTTGTTCAGTTTTGTTGTTGTTTTGTTTTATTTTGTTTATGGTTCACTAAATATTTCCTTTCCAACATTCCTGTTTTTTTATTTGTTTATTTGTTTGGTAGGGTTTTTGAGACAAGGTCTCACTGTGTATCCCTGGCTGTCCTGGAACTCAGAGCAATCCACCTGCCTCTGCCTCCTGAGTGCTATCATTAAAAACATGCACCATAGCACCTGACACATTTCTTTTTATTCAAAACTTCAGTTTTCTTGCTGAGTTTCCTTTCCATTTTACTAACATTTTTTTTCCTACACTCAAGATTGGTTTTCTTACTCCATTTATCTGCTTTTATGTATCTTTATGTAGGTTGCATAAAATCTCTTGTGATTTTTACAAGTAAGCTCTTAAATCCTTTGTCTGGCATTTTACCTATTTAAGTTAGTATCTTTTAATTCAGTGGCTTCAGATTTATGACCTTTTGACAAGCTGAGGAGTTATGTTGCCTTGCCTTTTGTTTTGTTTTGTTTTTTCAAGACAGGGTTTCTCTGTGGCTTTGGAGGCTGTCCTGGGACTCACTCTATAGACCAGGCTGGCCTCAAACTCACAGAGATCTGCCTGCCTCTGCCTCCCGAGTGCTGGGATTAAAGGCGTGCGCCACCAACACCCGGCTGTTGCCTTGCTTTTTATGTTTCTTGTTTCCTGTGTTGAGGGGTGTGCATCTGTTGGTTGTACATCTCATGAAGCTTTAGCTGAGATCTTAGTGGATGGCCTGCTCTTAAGGTTCAGACCCAGCGCAGCTCAGGGAGGAGAAAACAAATTCTCAAACAGTAACAACAGCAACCGAACAAGACACAGTGGTGCACGTATATCAACAATTACCATAAAAACAGAAAAGGACAAAGTAGCTTATGAGATGAGGTTAAAATCATTTAAGGTTAATGTAGAGACAAATGTGAGAAAATGATAGGGTGGGGAGGAGGGGAGGAGCCAGAAGAGACCCAAGGTTAAGGGGAAAAGAATGAGAATGTTGTAAGGGGAAAGCTGAAGAAAAACGTTTATAAAAGAAAACAAAAGTCAAAAGGAGGTCACTCAATACAGAAAATACATAAATAAAATCAGAGAAATAATATAAACATAAAAGTTTTTGAAGATAAGATAAAGTAACACTACACTGGGAGCATAATAAAAGAAAAATGAGAAACAAGGAACAGAAAAAACAGATGGCGTATTAAGAGTCTCTTCCCCTGGGTCCTTTAAAATTGGGCTAAGTCAGGTGTCCCTGGGGGCTGGGGCAGCTGGACTTGTAAACTCTTGTCTTCCTTAGTTTCTGCCACTTTAATGCTTATGTGGGTCACATGTCAGCTATCCCCAACTTGTTGTGGAATATCCCTTTACACTAGGTGAAATGTGTTGCTGTGATTGGTGTCATGAAGAGCTGGATGGCCAATAGCTAGGCAGGAAGAGGTCAGGCGGGACTTCCGGGGACAGAGAGTTCTGGGAAGAAGAAGAGCAGAGTTGCCCGCCAGGTGTTAGGGAAACAGGATGGGCCATACAGAGCAAGGGTAACCGAGCCACATCAAAGAATGTAGATTAAAAGATATGGGTTGATTTAAGTTGTAAGAACGAGTTAGAAACAAACCTAAGCTAAGGCCTAGCCTTCATAATTAAGAGGCCTCTGTGTAGTGTGTGTGTGTGTGTGTGTGTGTGTGTGTGTGTGTGTGTGTGTGTGTGTGTGTGTGGTGCCCATGGAGGCCACAAGAGGGCGTCAGAACCTCTGGAATTAGAGCTTGAAGTTGTGAACTGCCACAGACGTGCTGGGAACTGAACCGAGCAGTAAAAGCTCTTAACTTCAGAGCTGTCTCCCCAGCACCCAGATCTAGACATTTTTGAAAAGCCATCTCTGGATTTTTCAGTTATAAAAACCATAAATTTCTCCTATTTTTTTTCCTCCTTAATACAGTTGGAATTGGGGTTTTTTGCTTTCATTTGTTTTGAAATATTTGGTACTGGTAGTGTTTTGGCTGATTAAAGCAAGAACCTGACACATTCATGTTAACAAAAGAAATAACCCAGGGAACACCCAGAAACCCCACTACCGAGTCATCCTTCTTCGTGAGTTCTGTGTCTTTTCTTCCTACTTCAGGAATCCTATTAGATGGTGTACAACTTGAATATCATAATACATAATTTAGCCATTACTCAAGGTAAATTCAACACATCAGATAACTTTTCATATGCATAATTTTCATGTATATTGTAAAGCATAAAACATGGTAAAGGTGGTATTATTTATAGTGTCTAGACTAAAATTAACTAATTTTTGTGTGTTTTTTGAGATAAGTTCTCCCTGTTATGTAGCTCTGGCTGCTCTGGAACACATTATGTTGACCAGGCTAGCCTTGAGCTCACTTGCCTCCCGAGTGCTGGGATTAAAGGAATGTGCCACCATGCCCAGTTTAACTATAATCTTAAAATATAACCTAGCAGTAATGCCTCCCAGCAAGCAACTGGGTAAATCATTATTCTTTACCGTTTATATTCTCTTTTGTGCTCCATGAATCCTTTTCATCTCAAAGAAACAACACAGAAATTATCGTTAACAGTGCGGCCTTACCCAAGTCAGTATCTCGAATTCCCATGTACAGTTCGAGGAGATCATCAACCTTTTCAATCGCCTTTGCTTTGGCTTCCGATGGCTTTAAAAAGAGAACAACAAGATACTGCATTTACACAATAAATCTCTTGACTTTCGGGGCACACACAGAAGGAAATATCTGGTCCATTGGCTAACTTCAGCGGACATATCTGGAGCACACCCTTTAACCCTGTAGCTAAGAGTAAATACAATAAATATTTAGCCATAGTGTCAGCGTTAAGTGCGGATTCAAGAAAAAAAGAAAGGGAGGGAGGGAAGGAAGGAGGGAGGGAAAGAGGGAGGGAGGGAGGGGGAGGGAGGATGGTTCCCAAGTACTGAGCTACCTAAATAGAAGAAAGATACAGCATCAATAATTAGACAATAATTTTAAAGGCATAAGAGGTCAAAAGCCAGAAGTGTTCAGAAAGAAGTGATTTAAGGACTGTGTTTCCATGAATAGGGAGGTGTCAGATACACAGGGGAGAGAGAGAGACACTGGATAGAAGAGACACACATGGAAAGCCCATGAATTTGTAAGGTCTGACAGAAGAGCATGCTACATACACTCACTGTAAGAAGTCCCATGGGCCTGGAGAATACAGGAACACTAGAAGTTAGGGTCATGGGCCACTAGAAGGTTGGGAGTCTCCAAACTCTTTGCCTAGTGTGTGTGTGTGTGTGTGTGTGTGTGTGTGTGTGTGTGTGTGTGTCTGTGTCTGTGTGTGTCTGTGTCTGTGTGTCTATGTGTGTCTCTGTGTGTCTGTGCGTGTGTGTCTGTTTGTCATGTAACTGTGTCTGTCAGTCTGTCTATGTCTCTGCGTGTCTGTGTGTGTGCATATCTGTGTTATGTCTGTGTCTGTGTGTGCCTATGTCTCTATGTGTGTCTGTGTCTCTGTGTGTCTATATGTGTGTTTGCTTGTGTGTATGTGTCTGTGTGTGTGCATGTATGTATCTGTGTGTGACTGTGTCTCTATGTGTGTCTGTCTATGTCTATGTGTGTCTTTGTTTTGTGTGTCTATGTGTTTGTGTCTGTAGCTATGTGTGTCCATGTATGTCTATACGTCTACCTGTGTCTATGTATACGTGTCTGCATGCCTATCTGTGTCTATGCATGGTGTGTGTTTGTGTCTGTGTGTGTCTCTGTGTGTCTGTGTGTATGTGTACATGTCTGTGAGTATGTCTGTGTCTCTGTGTCTGTCTGGGTCTATGTGTGTGGGTGTGTGCCTTTGTTTGTGTGTCTATGACTGTGTCTGTGTGTCTGTCTGTGTCTATGTGTGTGAGTGTGTGCCTTTGTCTGTGTGTCTGTGTGTGTTCCATGTATATGAACATGTGTGGCATATTTGTGTGGATGTCAGAGGCTGATCTCAAGTGCTCTCCCCAGTTGCCCTCCTTATGTTTTTTGAGGCAGAGTCTCTCATGGAACCTGAAGTTTACTGATTTAGGCAGCAAGCCCCAAGCCCTCCAGTCTCCACCTCCTCCCCAGTGCTGGGATTATCAGTGTGTGATTGTGTACATGAGAAAATGCCAGTGCATTATGTATGACTGTGTACATGTGTGGGGAGTGCGGCGTATTGTTTATATAAGTGTGTTCATATAAATAGGTGAGCTTTTGTGTGCTTGTGTGTGATATTTGAGTGTGAATTTAATGAGAGGATGTTTATGTGATGTGCGCATGTAGAGAGGGATGTGGGTGTATTCATGTGTGTGAGCCTATGTGAATGTATGAATTTGTGTGTATGCATGAATATGTAAAATATTTGTGTATGAAGTATGCGTATGAATATGTGTATGAGTATATGAGAAGGTGTGTGTTCATTTGTGTATTGTGTGAGAGTGTGTGTGCTCAGACTTTCTGTATGTATACATGAGTATATGAGTATGTATGTGGGGGATATGGAGTGTACATATGTATACACATACATATTAGTGAGGTAAATGCATGCCATTCTGTGTGTATATGTGTGTGTGATTGTGTGAATGTGTGAGTATTAGTATATGCAAATGAGTGTGTAGTGTATGCATGTGACTGAATGTGTAAAAGTTTGTGTTAAATATGCGTATACATGAGTGTGTCTGCAGTGAGTGGGGAATCAGTATTTCTGTGTGTATACATGTGTGTGGAGTGTTTGTGTGTTTCAAGTGTGTGGATTAAGTACGTATGTGTGGGTGTATGCATATTAGTATTATGAATGTGTATTTGAATGTGCAGTGTCATTACCTGAATTTGTATGCGAGTGTAACTGCATGCGAGTATGTGTGTGTGTTTAGAGCTGTGTGGAATGTGTGAGCAGCGTGTATATATGGCGGTGTCTGTGAATGTGTGAGAGTGTACATATTGAGTATGTGTCTTTGTGTGTAAGTGTGTGTATGTCAGTGTGAATGTGTGTGCAGTTTGAGTGGGTGATATGTGTGAATGCATGTGTGTGCACATGGTTATATGTTTGGATGAGGGTTATAAAATGTATGTGTGTGAAAAATGTTAACATGAGTATACTGCCTTATTGGAGATCGAACCCAAAGTTTATGTACTATAGATAAGCGTCCTACTGCTGAGCTACATCCCAAATATCTCACGGCTTCATTTATAAGAACTAAAACTAAACAACAAGACAGATTGCTCTTGCCTCATTGCAACGTTTTTGAATTCTCTATGAAGCTGTAGGCTACACCAGTTATGCTGGTTTGAATGAGAATGGTCCCCACAGGCTCATGTATGTGAATGCTTTGTCCCGGCTGGTGGAGCTGTTTGGGAAGGACTAGGAGGTGTGGCCTTATTCGAAGAGGTGTGTCTCCGGGAGTGAGCTTTGGCCATCCCCCATTAGCATGCACACCCCCCCCACTTCCTTGCCTCCTGCTTGCGAACTGGATATAAGCTTTTAGCTACTTCTTCAGTGCATTGCCTGCAGGCCTGCCTGCTGACGTGCTCCGCACCATGACGGTCGTGGACTCACCCTCTGAAACTGTAAGCCAAATAAACTCTCCTATAAAAACTGCCTTGGCCAGGGTGTCTCTTCACAGCAATAGAGCAGTAACTAAGACATTCAGTAACTCAGATATCCACCACCTCTGTTTCTACCCAGCCATAGTACAAGCTGTGGTAGCAAATTGACAGCGCTCCTCATACACAACATCACCAACATCTGGCCGCTGGTTTCTGGGACGGCTCTTACTCCATCACCTCTCCCTGTGTTTGAGTCCTCATCCTTTATCTCAGGCGGAGAGTTCCTAACTTTCTCCCCTGCCATTTCCTCCCGAACCCATCCTGCTCGACAGCACACCCCTGAAGCCAAGGAAGTTTTCTAAAACACACAACCAATGACGTTGCTGCCTCCCGCCCGCCATTTTTAAAGGGATCTGCAGCTAACCATGGGACCTTTCACATGCTCACCCCATGTCTTCCTCCGGCCTCATCGTCACCCACGCTCTTGCAAACAGCAAGCTCGCTCTCTCTCTCTCTCTCTCTCTCTCTCTCTCTCTCTCTCTCTCTCTCTCTCTCTCTCTCTCTCTCTCTCTTCCCCAAGCCCATGATTGTCTGATAATTCATCTTCTATTTGCACAAGCTCCCCGTCACTTCTGCAGGCAACCACTGGCTGCTCTCTCGTCGTCCCTGCTCCCTGGCAGCCTCTTCATTGTGACCCTGTATGCCCTGGACTGTTCCTTAGCCCTGCATCCCCTGGTGTCCTAATGGCTCCTGTCAATGCCCCCCCGAGAGGAAAAGGGTCTTTATTTACCCTTGTGTCACCAGAGCCTGGAATGAATAAAGAACGCATTCTGGGAGTAGAGCCTCATCCTTAGCTTACGGAGTTTATGCCAGGTTAGGGGGGGAAGACTTTTTAAATCCTGTAAGTTTAAATCCTCTAAAAACTTGAGTGCAGGGGCTGGAGAGATGGCTCAGAGGTTAAGAGCACTGACTGCTCTTCCAGAGGTCCTGAGTTCTAATTCCCAGCAACCACATGGTGGCTCACAACCATCTGTAAGGAAATATGGTGCCCTCTTCTGGCTTGTATCCATAATAAATAAGTAAATCTTTTTTTAAAAAAACTTGATTGCAAGCTATTTATACTGATTTACTATTAGCATCAAACTAGCTTCATTATGAGCTGATTTTAATTAACCTATTTAATTAAGCAGACTATGCAAAATAATGTTTACTTTTGAGTAACTTTTTCCCAGATCGCAGCGCCTCATACATAGCAGGGTACTTAGCATGCATCCACTGGCTGTGTAAACGGTTGGAAAAATGATGCTCGACCCCACAGGGCACAGAGGCGCCCAGCACACCCTGCTTCCTCCACACAGGTCTGCTTATTTTCCTCACGGCCTCCAACAGAAAGTCAACAGAGCGTTCTCCTAGGTCCCCCACTGCGAGCTCCTGCCCACCGATTTTACATCGTCTCACTGATTCCTGTCTTCTGTGAAGGGCTTGTTCATTGAGTCGAGGGACAGTGACAGTCCTCAGCCATACACCAGGGGGCGAAATGAGCAAAGGCAAAAAGTAAAGGGTCGACCAGATGTCCCTGGCCTGTTGTTTTGCACAGAACTCACCACAGCTTATTTTCAAAATGCTTTGGCTTAACTTGATGAGATGGAAGATTACTATGGAGACACATCTCTGGGCATGTCTGTGAGGGAGGCTCTAGATTGGGTTAACTGACAAAGGAAGGCCCTCTCTAACCATGGGCAGCATCCCTGCCCTTTGCCTCATAAGCTCAAGCTTCTGCCTCCATGCACTCTCCAGCTTGAGAGATGGATCCTCCTCAGGGTTCCCCAAAATACACAACATCCTGAGACTCATACAGCCCGAAGGCAGCCTTCACCTGAGTTTCTGCTCTAACGAACCAGCGCTTCACTGACCCTGGACATTGTCATCCAAGAAGCTCTAGGGACCTCTTTGCAAACGGCCACCTAACTGGTCACCTGACTGTTGGGAGATGTCATTCTGTAAAAATGTGTCTGATTGGTCTGAATAAAGCACTGTTGACCAATAGGGAAGCAAGATATGTGGGACTAGGAGTCAAGGAGGATTCTGGGAAAGAGAGACACAGAAAAGTCACCATGTAGCCATCATAGGAATAAGAGATCCGGACCTTTTCTCCGGTAAGAGAAATACTTAGATTAACAATTATGGAGTAAATACTTAAGTCAGAGGTAGCCAGTAAGAAACCAGGCAAACTGCCAACAGCTTCATAAATAATATAGCCTCCTGTGAGTTATTTGGGGGTTCAGACAATGCGGCAGGACCCAGGCGGATGGCAGGGAAGACTTCACCCTACACCTGATCACTCATCTGATGTTCTGCAAATCTGGAGATCTGAGGGCGACACTCTCACACAGACTGTGAGAGCCTGGAGATCTGAGGGCGACACTCTCACACAGACTGAGAGGGTTTAGGGTTCCCCGGGTGACACTCTCACACAGACTGTGAGGGCTGTGAGGGTGGCATTCTCATGTAAAGGCTGTGAGGGCCTGTGCCTGTGATCTCCTCTCAGGAGCCACAAGACTTGGATGCCTTTGCGTCTACTTTGTCCCCCACTGTCCTCACTGCAGTGGGGAGGCCTGGTCCTGCCCCTGCCCACCCTGATCCCCGCCTCCCACACTCCTGCTGCGCGCTCCTTTCAATGTTTCCCCCCATTTGTGTCTTCTCCTCCTGGCATTTTCCACTCAGATGCTGACCTTTGCATCGACAGTCAGTCGATAAGTGAAACCCTTGCTTTCCTCAGCCTAAAATACATCTGTAACTGATGCTGCAGAAACTTGAATTCCTTTGGCCCATGAGATTCTCTCCTAGGTGACTAAGACTCTGAGTGAACGACAGATGAAATTAAGCAAAGTAAAGATATGAGTCCAGCAGCATTTGTTGCTTGGAAGAAAAATTAAGGTTAAGAACTGGGAAAGATAGCTGGGTGTTGGTGGTGCACACCTTTGATCCCAGCACTTGGAAGACAGAGGCAGGTGGATCTCTGTGAGTTCGAGGCCAGCCTGGTCTGCAGAGTGAGTTCTAGGACAGGCTCCAAAGTTACACAGAGAAACCCTGTCCTGAGAAACAAAAGCAAGCAAACAAAAGAAGTGGGAAAGGCAGAGAATTGTAGCTTCTACCAGATATTCTGAAAAGCCTGTGTAGGGAAGGTGATAAAAATGGGAGCACAGGGGGAAGGGGTTACTCTTAACAGCAGCCTGAGCAAAGGGAACCCTGGAAGCTCGTGGGGAGGACTGAAACCTGGCTGAGGCGGAGGGAGTGGGCGACGGTGGTGGTGAGATCAGAGTAGAAATGTGGGGTCGGGCCACAGGGTTAGCAAGTCTGGGGCCTTAACTTTTATCCTCAGGGACACAGGAAACCCCAGCCTCCCCAGCTTGCATCTCTAAAGGGTAGTCCTGGCTGCTGGACCCAGCACAGAGGGAAACAGGGAGGAGAACGGGGAATGTTCCAGCAGCCTCTGGGGTAGGACAAGCTGCCTGGAGTCTCACTGCACCCAGGGGAGGTTGTTGGAGTCTGGTATGGGTCCACAAGGTTTCCCTAGCAGGAGGAGTGTAGAGCGTGGAAAAGAGGAGTCAGGCATGACTGGAAGATGTTTATCTTAGGAGACTGGACATCTCGAGTAGAATAGTTCCTTGTAACAAGTCCTCGTAAGTGCTGTCTCCTGACTCTAGTTCAAACGTCCTCTGACAAGTCTAGACTAGTGACCTGCAGAGAGGCGGTCACCACGGACCACGCTTTCATGCTTTGGTGTAACCTCCTCTCACTGCCTCAGTGGTTTTCAGGAGGAGGAAACAGTGCACAAGGAGGAGATGAATTCAAAGCACGTGCTTTGCCCCTAGCCGGGGCGCTGTGCTCGCTCAGATCACGGTAGCTGCATTTCCTGCTCTAACAAATGTGCATCGCTGTGTGTCTCCGAACAGAGGGGGGAGTTAAGTGAGCGTGACCTACCAGCTCTTCCACTGTGGCAGGACCTTTCGACCTCAGACGAAGAGTCCCTCTGCAAGTGGCAATCTTATCTGCAGACGTCTTTCCAGCTTTTGACCTTGGTCCTATTTCTGTGAAGACATGAGTAGGAGAGGTGTGAGCTCAGAAAGAATCCCAACAGACTCCGTGACATTGGTAACAACACACGGTGACAGCAGACTTGATAAAAAATGTGCCTTCCTCCAGAATTACCTAAGGCGCAACGGGCCCACCTGGCCCCCATTATTCCCATATGGGGGAGTCTCTGGACAGTTGGGTCTACAAAACAAAAGCATACAGGAAACACAGGCTAGAAGCCTCAGGAAAGAAACAATAGGTGTTGGCTTTCTTCTCAGCAAAAAAGTGTGAGTGGCCAGAAAGCACCCAGGAAATCTCATCTGGCCGTCATCTCTGTCTTGAAGACCTGAAAGAAGGTCTGAGAAGAGATGGAGCCCTGTAACTTGATGCTTTGTAGATGAAATTCCACCTACCACACAGACTGCCCTACGAACCCTGCTATCAACCCCATTTTACAAATAAGGGAGCTAGAACCAGTGCATCGGAGACTCAAAACCAAGGCTTGCCAGGCATGGTGGTAGCTCATGACTAACCAATCTCAGCACTTGGAAGTTGGAGGCAGGGGAATTGCTAAAACCATACCATAGGATTCCAGACTCTTTGACTCTTTAGTCAACAACACTGCAGCCCCACGCCAACTAGAAGAACAAACTCAAAGGTTCCCAGGAAGAAAAAGACCTGGGACAGTTCCAAAGAATGCCCCGTGGTCACCAGGAATCCTCCAAGAGATGCCAGCCCTGTCCTGGGGCTGCCTTTGCCTGTATTTTACTTTGTTTTTCTTGCAATGGACCAAGAGTGGTTTTGCAAGGCGCTAATCCTAAGCAGCAACACAACCAGGGAAGGGCAAGGAGGGTAACTGGAAGGGGTGTGCCCCATCTAGACCTCTCCAATAACACATGCCCTGCGGGAACGTGGGTCCTGTTTAGCCAGATGCACTGTTTGCCAGAGAAACTGCATAGTCAGAGGTTTGTATGAATTTCCTGATTTTTTTTCAGCTTAAATCATTATACCCAACCCTTTAAAAATAACACCCTGGCAAACATATAAAAGAAGTCAGAATCTAAGTGAGTACAGGCTACCAATCCATGACTTCTGCAAATGTGTCCAAGCCTCTTTGGCTGAGGCCTCTCTACAGCTGCAGCTTAAGGCAAGGTTCAGGGGCACAGCTGGGCTTGCACTACCACCAGGGGGACAGCTGGGCTTGCAGACAGCTAGAGCTTGCAGAATAGGCTGCAGGATGCTGCAGCTAGGGAGGTCTGTACAAACGGCAGGGGTGCGGGCATCATAGGTACATGCACACGCATTCTTGATGAGAACCCTAGACTGGTTCCCATCTTCTGCCAAAGTTTTTTTTTCCCTTGCTGGGAATCTAGAGCAATGTAATTAAACATCTTACACATGCATTTTAATCTGAATCTAGGGTCAGAATCTCCAAAACACAAGTTTTCCTCTGAAGGTTACCATAGGATGGATAGACAGGCTCCCCGGAAGAAAGAAAGCCATAAACAGTGGTGAGATGGTGCCCAAACGCTACTCGGTGACTGGGTAGCTTTCCAGTTGCTTCACCTTTGAGCTGACCGCCAGCACTAGCCTTGCCAGTTACTACATATCCCTGGGGAAGAAAGAATCCTCAGCTACTCAAAGTGCAGTTCCAAAACGAGTGCCCGATGAGAAACAATAGATCAGTCTGTCTTCAGCACTGGGCAGCAACTCCAGTGTTCCAAGGGCCACGTCCCCAAAGCAGGAAAGCTGGGTGTTGTGGAATACGACTTTAAGCAGACAGAGATGTGTTACATTGTTTATGCTGTGGAATATTACTTCAACTAAGTGAAGCTGTGTTACATTTGTTTCTGCTGCCTTTGTTAATTGTGTAAAGATGTGTTACATTGTTTATGCTGTGGAATATTACATTAACTATGTGAAGGTGTGTTACATTTGTTTCTGCTGTCTATGTTGCTGGGCAAAGCTGTGTTACATTGTTTATGCTGTGGAATACTACTTCAACTATGTAAAGATGTGTTACATTTGTTTCTGCTGCCTTTGTTAACTGTGTAAAGGTGTGTTACATTGTTTCTGCCTCCTTTGTTAATTGTGTAAAGATGTGTCACATTTGTTTATGCTGCATTTGTTTAATTATGAAAAGATGCTGCAGTTTCACCTTGCCTGCCTAATGCACCTGATCCTTCTAATACAAAAGCTCAGCAGAAAATAACTAGGCAGGAGAGGGATAGATGAGGCTGACAGGCAGAAATTAAATGGGAGGAGAAATCTAGGTGGAGGGAGGGAGGGAGTGAGGGAAAGCATGAGGAGAGAACCAGAGGGAAAGAGAAGGACACACCTAGGGTCAGACAGCCACCAGTCAGACACAAGAGGCAGTGAAAGGAAGATGAAAGGGAGGGAGGGAGGGGGAGGGAGGAAGGAAAGGAGGGAAGAGAGAGGGGGAAGGGTGGGGGAGGAAGGCAAAAAGCTTTGAGGTAAAACATAAAGAGAAACAGATTAAAATAAGAGCTAAACTAAGGCCAAGCATTCAAAACTAATAATAGTTCTCCATGTCATGATTTGGGAGTTGGTTGGTGGCCCAAAAGAAAGCCATCAACAGTCAGACTTAGCTGAGTGGTACCAACAAATGGACACCACAATTGAGAGCCCACACACCCTAACACGTACTAGCGGAGCTCAAAAACACGCAGGGCACACACACCCACATCACTCCATTTCACTAAAGACTAAACGGCACACAAAGTACAGTCGGTAGGTGGCATGGTGACATTGTAGGGGTGTCAACATGCCACCTACCCAGCACACTTACTATCTCGTGTAAAGTAGACAGTAAACTGCTCACTCCATACATGTATAGTTGATTCTAGTATTACACACGTGTGTCTAATTGAGTCTGATGGAGTGCATATTAGCATCTGACTCAACAAGTGATGCTTGAAGGGTTGTGAGCTTCATCTGGGAAATGAGACAGCTCCGTATATTGCTGAGCCATAGTAGGTGTCTGGTATTTACAATGCTGGAGTGTGTAGCCTTTAAAAGGCATGGTCGGCCCTCTGTGAACTCAGCTGGCCTCTGTAAGGATCCGTGATAGATTGTTTTCATCGTCAAGCTGACACAATCTGGAAAGGGAAGTCTCAGTAAGAGGTTTCCAAGTCACATTGGCCCTGTCCTCGTCCGTGGGGTACTGTCGTAAGCACATTGACTGATACAAGAAGACCCACCCTGAAAGTTGGCAGCACTGCTCCCTGAGTTTGGGTCCAGGATTATAAACTGAGCTGAGCTGTAAGCTTGCTTTGGTTTGGGGGGTTGTTTTTGGTTTTGTTTGTTTGCTTGGCAGCCTCCCCCCCCACCTTGGATTGTGTCATATCCAAACTAACCACTTGGTGTCAGCAAAGCAGAAGTTAAACATTAAACTCTGGCTCAGACCAGCCTCCAGATCGCCATCAGCCAGGCTTTTCAAGATTAGAGGATGTTTCAGGATGAAAGTCGACTTGTCCCTGCATGAAAACATGCAGAATGATCCTGCCCACTCAGGCCGAGGTGGTGGAGGAGAAGATGGGCTTAGGGAATGTTTTAAAGATTCTGGGTGTTGATAGTCTGGCCTAATTTGGGGGAATAGCCTACCTAAGCATGTCTGGGCAGCCAGGCCAAGCCTTAAATCTGTCAGTTCACAGAAATGGGTGGCCACAAGGCCTCTCTCCGGGATGAGTTAGGAGAAGACATAGTTCAGACTGTGACCTATGCTAGCCAGCCCCAACCTGTGAAACTACTGCTGTCACTCATGAGGCCTCCCCACCAGAAGGTGTGTGGCTGCCCTGTCCCAGACATCACTGCAGTTCCAGAGAGGCCAGGCAGCTTCTGCACTCGGGCTTCCTATCACCAAGAGACAGCTGTGCTCCTGCCCGAAGCTTCTCATGGCCGTTATATCTTTCACTCTAATCATGTGGTTTAATTTTTAAAACTATGAGCTGATGACATGGGAGCTATAATTACCATGAAAATTAGGTTGAGTCCTCTGAACCAACGCGGTGAAAGTTGAAAAACAGGGGTGTGGGCAAGATGGCCCTGGGAGATTAGGAAAGGAATTTTAACAACCATCGTTTCACATATCTGACTCTTTTGTTTGTTTTTGGTTTTGTTGTGTTTAGTGAAAGAGCTCACGTGTGTTCATTAAGGTTGTGCTTATATAAGAAAAGTTTCTGGTGAAGTGTGGCAGTTACACCCAGACAGAAGTGGGGCAATCAGGAGTTCAAAGCCAATCTTGGCTCCACAGTACATTCGAGGCCAGTCTGGGCTACATGAGCCCCTGGCAGGAAAGAGTGGGAACAAGCCAATCTGTGTGGTCACCCCACAAGGAAGGCCTTTCAGGAGCCGAAGGATAAAGACGATGGCCATGTGAGCCTGATGGCCCGAGTCCACTCCCCAGAAGCCACACGAAGCTGGCCTCTGACATCCACACGTGTCATGGCACATGGATGCCAAGTGTACACAATAACAATAATGATGGTAATTAAGGAAAATAACTTTAGGGGCCTTTTAGATCAAGAATAGTGGAAAAACATGTATTTTTATGTTCCAAATTAAAATGCAACATCTATACAGCCATGAATTGCTTTAGTAACCCAATCTCAGCTCTATGGTAGGAAGACGGGGAAATCAACGAGGCAGAAAAGTGTTTGTCTCCAGCCCAACCAAGGCCAGGATGTTAATCCCAGGGAAATTAGTGCAGACAAAGTTAACTCAAAAGCACTGCTCTAACCAGGAACCTGCAAGATCCTCAGTGACAAAAGGTGGCATCTGAGGAAGTGGGTACCCTCCCCATTTCTGCACGGCGCAGGTGCCTTAGCCTGGAGTATGATGCCACACTTGAGGGCAGGGGCAAAGAACGGGACCTCAGCAAGGGGTAGGCACAAAGGGACACAGCTCTACCCAACAATTGCTCAGAGGTCAGGATAAACTACGGAGTAGGAGAGCTAAGGGCATCTGCCTGGCACACCTGGGACCCCGGGGTCCA